CTGCGCCACGAGACACTGAACCTGGTCGACTTCTTTGCGGCCAACCTAGTGCACATCCTGGCAAGCTCATTCGCCAACACCTTCCTGGCCGTTGTCCAGGTTATTTTCGCTGCAATCAAAGCGAGGGGTGCCCAACTGCCCAAATCCAGAAAAATGTGTACACCGGATTACCAAATTGTAAAGATTACGAAGGCTGTATCAGCTTAAGTGAGTGCTGTGCGACAGCACAGCAACAGCACGACAGCACTACGGCCCCGAACACCCGATTTTCCCAATAAATCCTTCTATTTCCAATCAAAATAATATCAAGGTACAAAATTATGTATTTTCCCAGTCCAAAAAGTTGTGTTCGCGTTCCCTCCGCTCGCTAGATGGCACGCGCAATGCGCCCTGCCGCCCTGCCTACAGTCCTTCACATTTCCGATATCGTAGCGTTATTACACTTTTTGGATTCGGAAAATACATAATTTTGTACCTCGAGATTATTATGATTGGAAACAGAAGGATTTATTGGGAAAATCGGGTGTTCGGGGCCATAGTGCTGTCGTGCTGTTGATGTGCTGTCGCACAGCACTCGCTTAAGCTGATACAGCCCAAGGATTAAATCACCAATGATTACCAAAAATTACCAATGAATACTAGGTATGACTCGCCTGCATTCTAAATCGAAACAACTATTTTTTTGTCCCGAGAAAGATGCATTTTTTGTACACATTTTAGGTAATTCTTAATACTTTATCTTGCAAAGTTTCAAACTTGCTTTCTATGATTGGACAAATTATGTTTTTGTCCATAGGAGGGATGCAAATACGTCACATTATGGGCGTTTGCGTTTAGACAAGATGTGCACAAAAATGCATGTCTCAATCAACAAATATGTCATTTGAAAGGACCCTCAAGAGTGTGTAGATTACCAGTGAATACCAGTGATTACCAGTGATAACCAACTCCGTGTACACCTGATTACCACAGTTGGGTACCGTTTGAATCAGAGGCAATATCAGAGACTAGTGGGGGGGGGGGAGATATGCACTTCTTTCATACTTTTTCACCCATGAATTCTGTCTTAACGGTTAATCTGACTCTTACAGGTCTTGACTATAGGAATCCCCGTACCTTTTTACCCAATTTACGACATCCTGTTGGTGGTCCATCTTTTGCCTATACTGTACCGCATGCGGGCGCGCGGTCGCAAAAGACAGGAAGGGGTCTATGGATCACCCTGTTATGTCTCTTTACTTAAGAGAATTTTTAAAGTTTTTGTCGACACTTACTGGGTAAAAATGCTTACGGGCATGTTACTCAGCCGAAATTGAGTTTAAAGATCTAAAACGGATCTTAAATATATTTTCATACATAATAGATAAAAGTAAAGCGGTCTAGTTCTATGGCTTATCCGGGAATGCTCGATAGGGAGGGCTGACACTGTAAAAAATTCTGTACCCAGAGACAGATTCCAGACAGATTCATACCGATTGTCCTGTACTTCCATACTACGGTCAAAATCTGTTCGACTGGTATTTGACGGATAAAGACTCGACATTGCTTGAAAAAAATTTCCCTCCACAATAAAGTACAGTGCAAACTACAGGATTACACTGTTTTCAAAATTACCAGTTACATTCTGTAGTTTTTTACTGTTGTAATTTTTAACAGTAAATGTTGCCCGAAGGAACTGGTCTGTCGGTGGAGCTCCTACCTGGTCTTTAAAATTCAATTCCAGATTTTCTCTAGCACTCACTCAGAATTTTGTGCAAGTGTAATGGTATTAGTACAGATCACACAAAAATCATCCGTAATACTGATATCAGAACTAGAAACTTTTACCTTCGGGTAGAGACAGCGACTAGGGACTTTCCAAAAACCCAGAAAAATGGTTTGTTTCGAGTAAGTCTTTCCTTGTTTTAAGTGCACGCTGACACAAGACCAAATTTACTCTTGAAACAAGCTGATATTTTCTTTCGAAAAAGAGAAAAATATTATTCCAAAGACAAAATCGCATTTGTTTCAATGGTGAATTTCATCTTGTGGCAGCTTGCACATGAGTCAAGAAACTATTTGGGTGTGAGAATCACCACAGTATTCTTTGTTACAGTTGTTAATCAACGACGTAACAAACACTACTTATGTCATGCTGCTACCCGTCGTGGTCATCTTCCTCCAGCTGTCGTACTTCAGCCAGGAGTTGTCGGACTCCAGTCTGACGCTGAAGAGGTGCGCCTACGCCGCGGCGACCGGCGGCGCCGTGACCGTGGCCGAGGCCCGCGCCCTCCAGCTCGTGATCCTGGCCGCCAGCAGGCCGCCGGCCCTTGGCTGCCGGGGCCTGGGCCGGCTCAGCCTGGCCAACGCGGGCCGGGCCCTCCGCCAGGCCTACTCGCTGGTCAACGTTCTCAGCTCCAAGTTGTAATAGCACGTGGTGCAGTCTGCAGTTCGGCAAACTTTTCTGGATGTGCTGCACCGGATCATCCGCATGACCGGATGCAGGCGTGCGGACGGGTTGCGTACTTGTCCGACCAAGATGCACTACCAGAAAGAGTACGGCCTAGAACACCCACCCTGTATATGTCCGCGGAAACCTTCTCGATCCCCTTGAGACTTCTTTTGAAAACTTGAACCTACATTCTTCCCAGACTGCAGTCGGCTGCTCGCCGCGCGCACACCAGGCCATAGCATAGCTGGGCGCCATACGGTAGCGGGGAGGCTTATGTGGAATGGATCTCCACTCGACAATTATTTGCCTCCCCGGAAGTAATCTTTTTGCAAGACCAAGAGAGGCCGCGCGGGAAATATGTGCTGTGTCAGACGGAAGACGAATAAATTTTTAAAAAAGATATGCGTTTTTGTCGAGCGGAAACAACGATCGACTCGTGATTTTTTTCCTCGTGTACTACTTCTCTTATTTATGTGGAAGCGCGCAGCCATGGCGTCGCTAGCTGTACAAGTCTTTGATTAGTTTGAGAAATCACCCATCTGTCCGAAACTTATAATGTGTACCACGATCAATGCGCGCGTGCGCGCGCGCGCGCACACACACACATACACACACACACCACTATAGAAGCCTCTGTCACCTGCTTACACGCCAGTCGCCCTCACCGTGTCACCCCACGATGCAACTCAGCGTTTACCTGTCGTGGTTGTGCCTAGAGCAGCACCCTCTGCTGCGAGTCCTGCGCGCCGTCCTCAAGAGTAGGGTGAGATGTTAGAACGATTCGCCACGATTCGTATTGTTATAGGCTACCGCCCAGTACGTACCGTGCTCGTCTTCACCGCTTAAAGGCACTTTTGTGTGTGACATTCTGACACGGACTTCGAATCGAACGTGTTTCTCGCCGTACCTCTCTCGTTCGGCATACGTTCTACGCTATTGAAGTGAATCGTCCTGACAATGAGGCCAGTAGTAAAAAGTAACATGGAATCAAAATAACCTGGAGCGAGCTGCCGCGCCAGTGGTGATGAGAAGTGAGCCAATCTATATCCTTCCCATTTGTTTTTTTTTTTGTTTTTTTTTATTAATAAAACATTGACACTGCGAGTATATCTCATCCCGACGACGGCTCGCGTTTACCTGCTGGTTCCGTTTGTTGTGATTTGTTTAGCTTTTTACTCGGAATACCTCTCCCAAAGAATAATTGGGCTTGTCATGTTTAGTTGCCGATGACGTTCATGGGGCTCAGCTGCATTCTCGAGGGGATCGTCGCGCTCATGCAGACGACGGCCAGGACAACCTTGCCAGCGGTGAGCGCCGCGAGCGACTTCTACTCGGCGTACTCGTGTTGTGTCGTGGCCCGTCAGCCGCGCTTCTGGAACATCCTCAGCGAGGTGAAGAGACTCGTCCAGGTCATGGAGGACATACCGGGCGAGAAGGTGCGGTGGGCGACTGGGCGCGCGCGCATGGCGAGCAAAAAGAGGCGTTTGTACTCCCCCGCCCCTTTTGAACTTGCAGGTGTGGGCGGACTCCGCTCGCCGTAACATTGCAGTCATATTCAAAAGTGTCTTCGTCACCGCTGTAGTCATGTTGGGATGCATTCTGGCGGACATGCTGCTCTCCGACGAGCCGATGCTCTCCCTCTGGCCGTTCGTGCCCCACGCGGGGTCCTGGGGGTTGCTCGTCCGCAGCATGTTCTGGGGCGCCGCATCAACCGTCTGCTGTGTGACTCTCTTCCACGTGCTGGTCCCCCTGATATGCGTCACCACCACCGTGACTGCGATGCACCACGCCCTAGCGCAGCACCTCTTGGACTCGACCGGGAAGACTCCGGAGGTCGTCAGAGACGTCGTCAGACTGCATCAACAGCTGCGCCACGAGACACTGAATCTGGTCGACTTCTTTGCGACCAACCTGGTGCACATCCTGGCCTGCTCGTTCGTCGACGCCGTCCTGTCCGTTGT